GCTATCCTGCCAGAACAGCTCCACTGCAAGGCATTCCAGCGTGATCCTATTGGAAACGATTACCACAGGAATCGATGTGAAAACCGTTACAACCTGATCCAATTGGACAGCGTTGCAGTAGGAATCCATTGGGGGCCGCTACAGCGGGATCCGATTGAAAGGCGCTGCAATAGGAATCCACATGGAAACCACTACAATCGGACTCATTAGAAACCACGACAAAAAGGGTTTCTAATGGTATGGGCTACAATAGGAACCCACTTAGAAACCAATACAGCGGGGTCAGGTTGGAAAGCGTTACACTAGGAATCGAATGGGAAACCGCGGCAACGGGATTTCCTCGGAAGGCTAAAACAATTTACCATCGGAATCCAATGTGAAACCACCACGGCGGGATCCTTCTGGAAAGCGTTACGATAGAAATCCATGCGAAAACCATTACAGCGGGATCTTATTGCAAGGTTTTAAAGTAGGGGCTCCAATTGGGAACAATTGCAAAGTGGTCCTGCCGGAAGGCGCTACAATAGGAATCCAATGGGGAAGCGCTACGACGGAATCTGATCGGAAGGCGTTACATTAGGATTTCATTAGGGAACCATTACAAAGGCCCGCACAGGATTTCCATAGCCTTACCGTTGGCTTATTGCAGGTCTGTGCATAGGCTGCGCACAGGCCTCCCGCAGGCCTGTGCATCTGGTGTGCATAAGCTTATGGTTCGCCTATGGACAGGTTTACACCCCGGTCCTGCTGGAAACGATTACAATAGGATTTTTCGGAATGCGTTACGAAGGGATCCCCTTTGAAGGCGTTACATGATGAATTGGATTGGAAACCAGTGCGCCGGGATCGTGCTGGAAGGTTTTACACCAGAAATCCACTTGGAAACCATTGCGACGGGATCTTGTTGGACGGCAACGGGGTCCGATTGAAATGCGTTACAATGGAGAAACCATTGCAAGTGCTCGCGCAGGCTTTCCATTGCCTTGACGTAGGACTATCATAAGCTTATGCGCGGGCTGCATATAGGCCTACCATCGGCTTACGCATATACGATGCATAGGCCGATGGTTGGCATATGGACAGTTTACAATCGGATTTTATGGAAAACGATTGCGATAGGAATCAAACTGGAAACCGTTAAACTTGGATCCTGTCAGAAGGCGTTACATTAGGAATCCGAATGGAAGCCGTTGCAACAGGATCGTATTGGAAGGCGTTACAGTAGGAATCACCTTTGTAAACCACTATCACAGGATCTGTCGGAAGGCTTTACAGTCTGAGTGCTACTGGCAACCGCGACACAGGGTTTTTTTATTGGCAGGTGCTACAATAGGAATCCACATGGAAACCACTACGACGGGATCCGAGCGGAAGCAGTTACATTCGGAATCCAAGTGGAAACCATTCCTACGGGATCCAATTGGAAGGCGTTGCATTCGAAATCCAATTCGGAACCATTACAGCGGGGTTCTATGTGAAGGCGTTACAGTAGGAGTCCACTTGAGCATTTCCACAAAAGGTTCCTTCCCATTGGAAGGAACCGCGATCGGAATTCACTTGGCAACCATGACAACGGTATTGAATGCGAATGCGTTACGTTTGGGCTTCACTTTGGAACTGCTACAGCGGGATCCTGTTGGAAGAGGTCGCAATAGAAATCACACCGAACACCGCTACAACGGGATCCAATGATAAGGCGCGACACTAGGCATCCAAGTTGTTGAAACCAGTGCAACGGAATCGTATTGGCAGGCGTCCCACGATCCTTTCAATTGGGAACCAGTACGGCGGGATCCTGTTGGAAGGCTTTGCCATAGGAGTCCAGATTACAACCGTTACAGCGGCGCGCGCTATCTTTCGTAGCCTTACCGTGAGCCTACAACAGGTTTATGCATAGGCTGTGTATTTGCCTACCACAGGCTTACGCATAGACTATGCATGGGCCCCTGGTAGGCCTACGGACAGTTTACACGAGGGTCATCAAGGAAACGGTTCCAATATGAACATACGGGGAATGTATTACATAAAGGGATCCAGCTGGAAGACGTTCTAGTAGGAACCCGATTTAAACACCGTTGAACGTGGATCCTATTGGAAGGCGTTGTCTTGGAAAACAATTGGGAACCGCTACAACGGGATCCTATCGGAAGGCGTTACAGTAGGAATCAATGCGTAAGCCACTACGATGAGATCCACTACGATGGGATCCTTCTGGAAGAGGTTATATCTGGAGTCCAATGGGCAACCGTTGCAACGGGATCCTATTTGAAGGCACTGCATATGAGTCCTATTGGAAACCGTTACGACGGGATCCTATTGGAAGGCGTCGCAGTATGATTCCACTTGGTAGTCACTACAACGGGATAATTGTTGGAAGGCTTTAAACTAGGAGTCCAATTGGAAACCATTACAAGGGCTCGCGCAGGCCTCTCGTAGCCGTAAAGTATGGGCCTACGCATAGGCGTTGCATGGGCCTTTTGATAGGTCCATGGGCAGTGTACAGTAGGGCCCTACTGGAAAGAAACCAACCGGAATCTATTTTGAAGCCATTACGATCCGGTTGGAAGACGTTGCAACAGGAGTCAATTTGGAAACCACTACAAAAAGGCTTCTGGTGGACAACGGGATCCTTTTGGAAGACATTGCAATAGGAACAGAGTTCGAAACCTTTCGACAACGGGATCCTATTGAAAGGCGTTGCAAGAGGAATCCACTTTGAAACCATTGCAACGGGATCTTGCTGGAAGGCGTTGCAATAGGAATCCAGCAGGAAACCATCACGGGGTCATGTTGGAAGGCGTTGCAAAAGGAATCTTGGTGGAAGCCATTGCAAAGACTTCCATTGGAAGGCGTTACACTGGGAATCCAACTGGAAACCAGCACAACGGGATTTTATAGGAAGCGTCACGCGCGGAATCCAATACGAGACCACTACAACGGGATCTAACTGAAAGGCGTTGCAAAAGGGAATCCAATTCAAAACTAATACAGCAGGATCCCATCGGAAGGCGTTACAACAGGAATCGAGTTGGAAGCCTCTACAAAGGAATCTTATTGGACGGCGTTCCAATACGAATCCGAGTTGAAAACACTACAACGGGCCCGGGATGGACCTCATTGGAAGGCGTTACAATAGGACTCCAACTGGGCACCACTACGACGGGATCTTGTTGGAAGACTTGACAATAGGAGACGCTACAAGACGAAACCGATTGGAAACCGCCACACGTCGGTCTTTTTTAGACGCGGTAGAATTAGGAATCCAATGGGCAGCCACTACGACTCGATCTTGTTGGCAGGCGTTGCAACAATAATCGAATTGGAACCCGCTACAACGGGACCTTGTTGGAAAGCTACATCTTGAGAACCCGTTTTCCTTAACCCCCTCCCCCTCCCCCCCCCTCCGCCTCCCCCTCCCCCTTCTCCTCCCCCTCCCCCTTCTCCCCCTCCCTCCTCCTCCTCCTCCTCCGCCTCCTCCTCCTCCTCCTCCTCTTCCTCCTATTCCTCCTCCTGACCCCGTTCTGTCGCAGGGTTACAAAGCTTCTCTCGCATTGTGGAAGGCCTGGATTCCCTGGGACCCCACATCGACGACGCCACAAGGCTCCCGTACTCCTTCGGGCGGGGCTGGGACCAGGGCAAGTCGTCCCAGAGCGTGCCAGAACGCTCGCAGAGCGACCCCGAGCGTTGCACAGCAGCCGCGGCGCCCCATGCACTCTCCGGAGACACTGGAGCTCAGAGATCCCCGACTCTTGTCCCCGCGCGGTGTTGTTGTTTACCAGCCTCGAACATATCCCTATCCCTAAGATTGACACGCCAAAAGGCGACGACAGTCTTAGGGATTCGCCCTCAAGAAATAAGGGAATCCCTAAGATTGGCATCGTGATGAGGAGGTGCCCAGCATAGGGATAGGGATATGCTCCAGGCTGGTAAGTTGTCCTGGTCCTGACGTCGTCCTGCTCCCCTTCCGCATCCCTCCCCGGCCTGCCCCTACAGTCAGGGCGCTGAAGAAGGAACCCTTCTCGTTGGGGAGGGGCTCGGTGTTCCTTGATTGTTTTACAGTTTGACTTGGTTTTTCCTGAGGCTTTCGATGGGAAATCCAGGCTGAACTTTTGGGATCTAGGGGCCTCGTTCCCTATTCAAGGCTCCTTAGGTCAACGCCCCGACTGTACGCCCGGGCGCGGCCCGCACCTCGATCGACCGAAAGCATCCGCGGGGCCCCCCCGGGCAGGGCCTCCGAGGCCTCGCGCGCCCCGCCCTCGCTCCGACGAGCAGCGCCGACGCATCTGCGCCCGCGGGCAGCGGGCTCTCCTCCGGCCCTCTCTGGAGTCGGGCACGCCCCTCGACTGCAGGACTGCTCCAGCAGAGTCCAAACAGATGGTCTCGGGACGATGTCTCTACTGTGCTTGACCATCTGGGGCTGTGTGTCTTGCCTATTGCCTCTCCTCCGGCCCTCTCTTGAGTCGGGCACGCCCCTCCTCAGCGGGCCCTGGAAACGACAGGGCCGTTTTTGTTACCGGTTCCGTTTTGCCTTTTTTTGCCAGTTCCGACGCCGTTTTTTTCCGGTTCCGTCGCCGTTGTTTGACCGGTTCCGGCTCTGGCTCCAATCCTGGAGCCGTTTTTGTTCCCGTTTCCGGGCGTCGTTTTTTTGCCGCTTCCATTTTCAAGGGGCATTCTTTGGGAAACGGTGAAAAAACGGCACTGCCGCTTCCGGGGCCCACAAAGCATCCCTCTACTGCAGGAATGCTCCAGAAGAGTCCAAACAAACAGTCTCGGGACGATGTCTCTACTGTGCTTGACCATCTGGGGCGGTGTGTTGCCTATTGCTTGTTTTTTTCGTCCAGAAGCCGCCTGTAACGGGGACCTGCCCGACCTGAGCCCTCTCCCCCCCCCTCCTCCTCCTCCTCCTCCTCCTCTTCCTCCTCCTCCTCCTCCTCCTCCTCCTCCTCCTCCTCCTCCTCCTCCTCCTTCTCTGCACCGGCGCCACCTACATCACGAGCGAGCTCGGGCTCAGCCTGGAGAGCGTGCAGCTCGAGGACTTCGGCCAGGCCAGGCGCGCCACGGTCAAGAAGGACTCCACCACGATCGTGGCCGACGCGCCCAAGGACTGGGCGCACGGCAACGGGGGGGGCAGGGGGAGGAAGAGGAGGAGGAGGAGGAGGAGGAGGAGGAGGAGGAGGAGGAGGAGGAGGAGGAGGAGGAGGAGGAGAGAAGGGGCAATGAGCATAGAGGGGGGGTGAGGGGAAGGAGGAGGAGACGTGCCCTTCGGACATGCAGGAGGAGGAAGAATAATCATGAGGACTGGGCGCACGGCAGCGGAGGACTGGGCGCACGGCACGGCACGTGGGGACACTCGGCTTTCCCCCTCCCGCTCGCCTCCTCTCAACGAGCGGTGTATGAATACAGTAGCGTGGGCCGTTTGGGCTCGGGCGGCATTCGCGCGCAGCGCGTTCGCTTTCTCTTGCAGGCCACGGGTCACTGCATGAGTTTGCCAATCGCAGGTCAGCTTGTGTGGGGTTCCTGGTTTTCTTTGCGACCTTCCGATTCGCACAGCAGCTGAGGGTTGAGGCCGAGTCGTGTCAAGTGATGTGGTCGTGCTCCTTCCCTCCAACTTACCTCAACAACAATAATAATGATTTTAAGACTGTCCGCCCTTATATGATCCAGTGTCCAATAACGCGTATTTCCCAAGCCCTCGATACCCGCCCTCTTCGTCTTCGATCGAACCCCTTTTGGGGGGTATACCTTTCTTCCCTGCAGGCCGGGCCCCGGCAAGCGGCGGGGCGGCCGCGGACCGTCGGCCTGGCCAGCGGCAGCGCTGATCGGCGGGGCGGCCGCGGACCGTCGACCCGACCCCAAGAGGGACGGACAGGGACCGACCACGACGACGACGACGACGACGACGACGACGACGACGACGACGACGACGTCGTCGAAAACGACGGTGACGACGACGACTGCGACGACGAGCGAAAGCGAGAGCGAGAGAGAACGACAGCAGGGCCACAAAGGGCACGAAGTAGGCCACGAAGGGCGACAGCGGGGACACGAAGGGAATGCGTATGGGGCCACGAAGAGCGCGAACGAGCGGGGGCCACGAAGTGCAGATAATGCGGGGCCACAGAAGGCAACTATGGGGCCCCTGAGGGTAGCAACTGGGCCGCGTAGGACAGTGAGGGGGACACAAATTTCGACAGCGGGGCCACGAAGGGCATGCACATGGGGCCATAACGGGCGCGACTCCTGGGTGCCTGGGTGTCAGGAGCGCGGCGCTTGGGCAAATTGCAAGAAAGTCCAACGCAAGGCCATTCTTCAGTAAATTGCAAGCATTTCTCCAGCGAGAGCGCGACTCCAGAACGCCGGGAGGATGATTCCTGAATTAATTGTAAGATAGTCCCCAGCGAGAGCGCGATTCCTGAATAAAATGCGAGGAAATCTCGGACGGGAGCGGGGGTCCTGGCTAAATTGTAAAGAAGTCTCAGGCGGGAGCCGTTGTTGTTGTTGTTGTTGTTGTTGTTGTTGTTGTTGTTGTTGTTGTTGTTGTTGTAACCCGGGGGCCATGGGCCCAGTTTGAGCAGGAATATTTTCCCTGTCAGAAAACCGGGTGCGAGCGCCGAGGGGCACAATACTTATTCTTCATACCTGAAAATTCAACAACAACAACAACAACAACAACAACAACAACAACAACAACAACAACAACAACAACAACAACAACAACAACAGCAACAGCAACAGCAACAGCAACAGCAGCAGCAGCAACAGCAACAACAACAACAACAACAGCAGCAACAGCAGCAACAACAACAAAACGTGGGGGGGGGGCGGGCGAGGACTGCGGGGAAGTGGCCCCAAGGGGCACCCACATTGCCCCCGAACCGCCGCCGCGGGCCCACGAGGTGCACGAGGGGCGCACGCGCCTTCACCCCGCGCTGGCGAGCGCGAGGGCGTGCCCTGAACCGCCAGCGTCCGAGGAGGAGGAGGAGGAGGAGGAGGAGGAGGAGGAGGAGGAGGAGGAGGAGGAGGAGGAGGAGGAGGAGGAGGGAGGGTGGTGGGCTGCGTGCAGGAAGGCCGGCCGGCCTGCGGCAGCCCACAGACAGACAGATATCCGGCATGTAGTCCCGACCGCTCCGTCTGGCACCGCAGCGGCCAGTCAGGAGACAGCTAAGACCGTCAAAGAGGGGAGGAGGGACGCTTGCGATCAGGAGCTCTGGCCGGCCCACCACTCGGCGGCGAGCGATGGTAGGGAGGTGAGAAGGAGAAGGCCTTCTCAGAAGGCGGCGGGACTTCTCAGGAACCCTCGCGCCTTCTGGGGAGTTTTCCCTGTCTTCGGGGGGCAGGCCCGGAAAACTTCTCAGAAGGCCGGAGGACCTCCGAGCCTTCCGGAGAAGGCCTTCGCCTTCCCGCTTCCCCCCCCTCGCTCGCCGCCCAAACCCTCCCTCCCCCTCTCCTCTCCCTCGCTCCCTCGCTCCTTCCTTCCCCCTCTCCCCCCGCTTCGGCGCGACGCGCTGCCGCGCCCGCAGTCCCCCCGCGTCCACTCCCAGGGCTCCCCCCCGCCCGCTCCCGCCCGGCGGCGCGGGCGCGGCACCGTGGCAGCAGCTGCCTGCGGGGCGCGTCACCGCGCCGCCAGGGGCCGGTTTCCGCGGCCTTTTTTGGGCGGCTGCCGGCGGCGCCGGCGGCCGCGGGCGCAGGTCTCGCAGGAGGCTCGCAGGAGAGAGAGAGAGAGCTGCATACACTCTGTCCGTCGGCGGCGAGGCAGAGGCAGTCCGCACCAGCGTGGGGCTATTGGCCCGTTCGGAAGCGCCCCCGGCGATCACGCGCGTGACCGGCCCCACCCCGCACTGCTTACGGGCCTGTTGCGGCACCCCAGGCGCACCCCCGCCGTGGCGTGACCGGCGCAACGTAGCCCCCTTTCCCCCGGCTCGCGCACGTGACCAGCCCCAATCAACGAACGGACTCTGATCGGGGGCATCGATCGGCAACTTGTCCAGCGTGCAAGAGAGAGAAAGAGAGAGAGAAAGAAATAACAACAACAAAAAACATCCCAGTGTGACCCTACCTAGGAGTTGGAGCCCCTAGGAAAGCAGCATTAGTAGTAACAGTAAAGCTAAGCTAAAGCTAAGCTGCAGCTAAGCTAAAGCTAAGCTAAAGCTAAGCTAAAGCTAAGCGAAAGCTAAGCTAAAGCTAAGCTAAAGCTAAGCTAAAGCTAAGCTAAAGCTAAGCTAGAGCTAAGCTAAAGCTAAGCTAAAGCTGAGCTAAAGCTGAGCTAAAACTGAGCTAAAGCTAAGCTAAAGCTAAGCTGAAGCTAAGCTAAAGCTGAGCTAAAGCTAAGCTAAAGCTAAGCTAAAGCTAAACCTAAAGCCCCCAGGGGACTCGGGGAACCGCGGGGCGGGGACCGGGGGAACCGCCCGGGGCGCTTTCCATTGCCCGGCCCCTTTAAGCTAAGAGAGTAAGAACCCTTCTAGGCAGAGCCTAGGTAGGGAACAAAAAAGAAGACGAGGGCGGCCGCGCGGGGGGAGAAGGAAGGAGGCACGTGGAAAGGGGGAAGAACAATGACATAAACATAAAATCTCGGAGGTCCGCGCAAATTTCTCGGATCGGCGCTGGACCCCCCTTCCCTGGCGCGCGGAGCGCGCCAGCGGCGGCTCCGGAGGCGCCGCCAGGGGGGTCCAGCGCCGATCCGAGAATTTGCGCGGACCTCCGAGTTTTTATGTCTACAGTCGGGGCCCTGAAGAAGGAACCCTTTTCGTTGGGGAGGGGCTCGGTGTTCCTTGATTGTTCTGCAGTTTGTCTCCGGTTTCCCTGAGGTTTTCCATGGGAAATCGAAGTTCAACTTGTGGGAGAAAGGGGCCTCGTTCCTTATTTAGAGTTCCTTAGGTCAACGCCCCGACGGTATGTCCGCCCCCCCTACAGTGGAAGAGCTCCGCGGCGAGCGGGCCGGCGCGGCTGGCGCAACGGCTGCACTGCAGCCAGGGCGCCGCAAGAGGGAGCGCTTCGGGCTCGGGCGGGGCTCTGGTCCTCGGGCCGCTCCGGAGGTCTGGGTTCGGGTACCGTCGGGGCCCCGAAGAAGGAACCCTTTTCGTTGGGGAGGGGCTCCGTGTTCCTTAAGTGTTTCACAGCTTGCCTCAGGGTTTCCTTATGCTCTCGATGGGAAGTCGAAGTTCAGCTTGTGGAAAAAGGGGGCCTCGTTCCTTATTTGGGGTTCCTTAGGTCAACGCCCCGACTGTATGGCCTAAGGGACCCAAAATAAGGAACGAGGCCCCTTTTTTCCACAAGCTGAACTTCGATCTCCCATCGAAGACACAGGGAAACCCTGAGGCAAGCTGTGAAATAATCAAGGAACACGGAGCCCCTCCCCAACGAAAAGGGTTCCTTCTTCGGGGCCCCGACTGTATGCCTTTTTTCCACAAGCTGAACTTCGACTTCCCATCGAGAGCATAAGGAAACCCTGAGGCAAGCCGTGAAACACTTAAGGAACACGGAGCCCCTCCCCAACGAAAAGGGTTCCTTCTTCGGGGCCCCGACGGTACCCGAACCCAGACCTCCGGAGCGGCCCGAGGACCAGAGCCCCGCCCGAGCCCGAAGCGCTCCCTCTTGCGGCGCCCTGGCTGCAGTGCAGCCTTTGCGCCAGCCGCGCCGGCCCGCTCGCCGCGGAGCTCTTCCACTGTAGGGGGGGCGGACAATGACATACCGTCCCCAGACCCCCGACGTAATTTTCATGACGTCGACCCCCAGCGGTCTGGACCAATTCCCTGGGACCGGTTTTTCGTCCGGAGTCGTTTTTTGACGGTCCCGAGGGCCGGTAAGGGTCCCCAGAGGCCGAAAATAGCGAAAAACCTCCCGTCGTGATTTCTTCATGACGCGAGGGGGTCTGGGGATGTGCACACATGTCATCGATCTGCCAGTTCCTCCCCCCCCCGAAGCGCCTCCCTGCCCGAAGGGCGGTCGGGCGGCCACGAGCGGCGGCAGGGCGACCAGAGGCCGGCCAGGGCGGCCCGCGAGC